TATCCCCTGAAGGACCCAGTTCCACTCCTTATCCTAGAGGTCTGACTTCTCCTGTTGTCTGCACCAACATTAGGGTCACAGGCAGGAGATGAGCCCAGCGGCACTGGGCAGGACACAGGTAGAGGGGGTCTGAAACGGCTCAGACCCTTGCTCGCTTCCCAGCGTGGGAGCTCCAGGGCTGGGCTCTGGAAGACAAAGCCTCGCCCAGCCTGGGGGAGGGGTGGGAAGAAGAGACTGGAGGCCCAAGCTACCCCACCCCCATTCAAGTGCTAATGAGCTCCAGCCGGGGACCTTGAAAGCTGTGGGAAGAACAGGGAGGCTGGACGCCAGCCTGGGTACCAGCCCACCTGGTGCCTAGAGCCCAGCCATATCCCCAACCTTAGGCAGCCAGGAAGGCAGCTCAGCCCTGAGAAGCTGGGTTTAGGGTCCCCAGGACAGTCTATCACTCCAGCTGTCCACACACCTTGGTCTCCCCACTTGCTGTGAACAGCTGCCTGAGGGTAAGGGAGGGGGGTTCCCCAGGGCTTCCATACTGGGGCCAGTCAGCCTGTAGACTAGGGAGAGTCCTCCCCACCTAATTCTCAACTCTGTAGGAGTCATTAGAAGCTCTCTCACTTGTTCTCACACCCCCAGGCTTTGACCCAAGGTCCCCACAACACCTGTGGCTGCGGGCAGGTACCCTGCTCCCAGGTTATGGATGGGGAACAGGACACCAACCAGGATTTCACTTGTTGCTGGGTTTCTCAGCAAGTGCACTAGGTGGAGCTGGGTATTGAACCTAAGTCTGTGTGACCCTAAGAGCTAGTCTAATTTTTTTTATTATAGGTTTTTTTTTTTAAGTTTTGAAACAGAGAGAGACAGAGCATGAGCGGGGCAGGGGCAGAGAGAGGGAGATACAGAATCTGAAACAGGCTCCAGGCTCTGACCTGCCTGCACAGAACCCGATGCGGGACTCGAACCCACGAACCAAGATAATGACCTGAGCCGAAGTCGGACGATTAACCGACTGAGCCACCCAGGCGCCCCCTCAAGAGCTAGTCTAAAGAGCTGAGCCCTCCTCCTCCAGGCCAGGCCTTCCTACTTCAGTGCCCTTGCTGAGTAGGTCCTCCTGCCCCCAATACCTGCCCCTGGCAAAGGCTGCTGATTTTGCAAAGCCACCCAGAGGGACCTCCCACAGTCCATTCACAGGCACCACCAGACTCTTCCCAACCAGGATCCCAGGCTACCCCTTCTCCAGTTAGACCAAGCCCCAGGCAACAGCCCTGGAATTACTTATCCCTGTTCATGGATGTGCTCTATAGCTTCATTCTTTCCATACATGCTTAATAGGCACCTACTGTTTGCCAGACCATTTGTTAGAGACACAGATGGGACAGAGACCACAAAACTCCTTTCCTTTTCTTTTGGTAAACCAAACTGAACCCCTGTATGTGCAGTCCCTGTACCGGTCCAGGCCAAGGTCTCCTGCAGCAGTGCTCTGGCCTGAGCCCCAGGGCTGTGGGGCAGCCCAGCCCTGAGAGCTAAACAGGCTCTATTGGAAGACCAGAGAGAGCAGGCCCACAGCAGGCCCCGAACAGCCTGAGCTGAAAGGAAGCATGCAAAGCCGCTCACATATGAATGGGTGGAACCCCCACTGCCCTATGACAGGCTACAGACTCATCAGCAAGAGTTCTGCACAGGGTGGGTTAAGGGCTGTCTCTGAGGAGCCAGCGAGGCAGGTGCGGAGTTCAGGAAGAAACATCCTGAAGAACTCTGCTGGTGTCAACCCCCCGTCCCTGTCATCAGCCCTAACACTGAGCCCTTGCCACCTGCCCACAATATATCAGGTTCAGTGACCGCCATCTTACTCCTCCATCTACCCACCTACCCCCAAGACTGAGTTCAGACTAGTAGTACAAACAAACAGACAAGAAGCACTCAATAGATGCCAGGCTCCATGCTTGGCACAGAAGGCACAGAAATAAACAGGACACATCCCTGCCCTTGTAGTCTCAAGGAAGGACAGCTGTCACCCAGGTAAATACCACTCTCTGACGGGGGAAGGAAGCAGCAGCACCAGGAGCCAGAGGAGGTACTCCGGCAGCCTCCGTCAAGGAATGGTCCTGGGAGGTGGTCCCGGAGCAGAGTCTTGAAGAACAATCAAGTAGGAATGAGTTAGATGGAAAGAAGGGAAACGCACGCCAAGCTAGGACATCAGATACAAAGTCCCAGAGGCAAGAAAGAAGGATTGTATTTATACGCTGAAGCCTTCATGGAGCCCATGAGGGACAGTCTCTCCTTTCTTGGTAGGCTGCCCACACAAGCCCATCCCAAATCAGAGACAGCCCCCAAACACACACTCTGGCTTCCTTTCTCTTAAGTGCCCAGCCCAAGGCCCCAAATTCCACCTGGAGATAGTTGGTCAGTCAAGTTGAACTGGGGGGCAGAAGGAGGTGTCCCTGAAGTACGGCTGGTATCAGCAGCTCTGCCCCGCCCCCCAGCCAGTCCCCCTTATGACAAGCTGCTAGGAAAAACGCTCACTGGTGTGTACCACATCTGCCTCTACCCCTGTTGCCCATCCGCCAGTAGGGCTACCCAGGAGGGCAAGGAGCCAGTATGCGGGTGTGGCAGCAGGCGTGGTTCTGGCTGAAAGGGAAGGCTGGCAATTGCCCAACCTTAGAGTCCCGTTGCCTGGACAGAGTTCTTCCCGCTACGTGGGACAGGCACCCAGCACTCTGAAGCTGCTCCGGCTGGGCTTGCATCACTTTCTTGTACCTGGACTGGAAAGGGATGGCCGGCCAGTTCCCCTACCCAGGCAACCATGGCAGATTGGGTCCCCAGTTTCAGGCAGGTCTAGGTCTCCCAGCCCCTTGCAGTACACCCTCTGCAGGGTCTTAGCTCCCATCCCCCACTCTCAACAGGAACCTCCATAAGGCCCCTATTTTCCCTATCCTGCGGCAGCACTCCTCTAGCCCAAACCCAGGAAGCCCACTCAACAGAGGAAGCAAAGGCCAGAGAAGCAAGATGCTGAGATCGACTCCCCAGACTAGAAAATGCTGAGCCAGACCCTGCACCCCTGGCTGCTGCCAGCCCAGTGTGGGAGGGGCTGCCAGGCCCCAAATCTGAGCCGAGCTCCACGGAGCAAGACTAGTAGAATGGGGTTGGGACAGAGAGGGCCAGAAGCCCCATGTACCCCGGCCCTATGGCCCAGTCCCACATCTCCTCAGCTGATCAGCCTGGGAAGGGGCTGCCCAGCGGCCCCTGGGTGGGCACCAGGAGAGAGCAGTACCGAAAGCACCCTACCCAGGCCCAGCGGGCAGCAGTGATGTGCCCTCCACCGCGGCGACACCCACTCAACTGGTGCTGCCGCACTCACAGCAAAGACAGGAAGAGGCAAGCGCCCAACGCAAAACAGCCCAGGAGGCTGGGCCGCCGCCCCTTCCCGCCCCTTCTCTTCCTACCCGCAGCGGCGGCGGAGCGGATGCCATTTTGAAACCTCTGGGCTGTGCCCCTGAGGCCAGGCCCCCAGGGACAGTCAACAGATGGGCTCAGGATGGAAGACACACTGTCCCTGACTGGGCCAGACATTCAGCAAGGAAAGCTCCGCTTTTCACAGCCTGAGGACCCCACAGTGGCTCTGAGGCTGAGGGGCCACACCCCCCCACATACACTGTCCAGCCTCCAACGCTGCTGCAAGGGCCTCTCTCCCCCGAGCCCCGAAACCCCCGAATCAGGCTGCCACCGGGCACCACACCTGCTCCCAGGGAAGGCCGGACGGGGACAACTACCAGGAGCACAGTCTTTGCAAAAGTCCACCTCAGATGCTCCCCAACTCCAGCTGGCCCTCAACTCCTCATCCAGCTGGCCCACCACTTCCCCCTCACCGGCCCTCAAGATGTGACAGGCCCACCCACTCCCAGAGGCCAAGTCCTTGGCCTTTCGGCGCAGAAAGGGTGCAGGAAGCCCAGTACCCGTCAGCACATCTCCTCGGCCCGCCCGGCAGGGCAGCAATATGTCGGCTGTCTCACCACTTCCACTTCCCCCCACCCCTCAAGCAGCCACCATCTTCCCTGGCCTTGGAGGCGCTGCAACCCAAACTCCTCCACACTCACACTCCCTCCTACTCCCCAGACGCCCCCCTCACTGGCCCAGATGGGGCTTAGAAACTGGGAAACAGCCAGCCCGCGGAATCTCCCTGGGAAGCTTGAGGCCTGGTTCCCTCCCCCAGTGCGATCAGTGGAACCTCAGTCCAGCCCCTTAGTCTGGGCCCCCTCCTCCCAGCTCAGCCCTGTCCCTCCAGTGTGGGAGGGGTAGGGGAATCAGAGGTAGACCAAAGTGTGGGAGAGGACTCAGGGAAGAGGAGCAGATGGTTTGAGGAGTAATGTGTGCGGAGAGGGACCTAGTGGGCCAGATGCAGGGAGCAAAGATCTCTAAAGGTTTGGGGGTTCCGGCTAGAGAGAGGGCTCATGAGCAATCATGGTTTCCACTTGAGAGGTTCCTTGATGTCAGGGTGCACAGGTGGATACAGGGTTCAGAGTAGGGATGGGGCAAGGGGGAGAAGGAAGGAGTGGGTGGGGGCCTGGCTGGGGCCCCAGGGATATTCATGCCCAGTAGGAACAAGGGGAGCAGGTGAGGGAAACAGGTGGTGCTTAAAGGTGGGGACCAAGTGAGGGGGTTCTGAGGATCTGACTAAGGAAGGATGGAGGACAAGGCAGGGACTCTGAGGGTCTGTGAGGTTGGTCAGCACGGGTGGAAGTTCAAGCGGGATTCTGAGTCTGGAGGTTTGGGGTCTCCCAGGAGTTGAGGGTCTGATCTAGAGTTTGGGCTAGGATCAGACGTCTAGGCCAACCTAGAGTTTGGAACCATTTGGGTGTCCTGGCCAGACCGGGTCTGGGAGTTCAAGTCCAGGTGTGGGGGTCCAGTCTGAGTCTGGGAGTTCAAGGCCCTAATCTGGAGGTCAAAGTCCTTGTCTGGGGACTCGGACGGGGAATCGAGGGTCCCAGCGCAGGGCGCGGCCTCACCCAAAAGCAGCAACTTCACCTCCCGCGCCGCCTTCTCGCCGTCTTCCCGCAGGTTCTTGTCGATCATCTTAGAGCGCTCGGCCGCCGCCTTGTCCTCGGCACTCACGGTGCAGCCCATCCCGCCGTCCGCCGGCCCGGCCGCCGCCCGGCCCCCACACGGCCCCCGGCCCGGCTCGGCCCCGTCTGACCCACTCCGCTCCCGCCGCCGGCCCTCTAAGGGTGGCTCTCGGGTCGGCAGTTCCGAGCGTCTGCGGGCGGTGCCTTCCCGGCCTCCGCGCACCGACGGCGGGGCGGGCCGAGGGTGGGGCCGGAGCAGGCCAGGGCCGGGACTGGGCCGGGGCGGGCCCGAAGGCGGGGCCATGGGATATCTGGGGCCGGTGATTGGCTTGAGGGCGGAGCGAAAGAGCAGTTAGGCTCAGCCCAGACTCGGGCCTGAGCTGGAGGCGGAGCTACACCGAGAAATAGCTGCAGGAGTAGAGCCAAGCTCAGAGGGATTGGGCTCCGGGAGAGCTGCAGGCAGGGCTGGGTTCCGATTGGATGCGGAACTCGCCGAGCTCCGCTGCCCAACGGCGGAGGCGGGCAGATCTTGTACCCCGAGGGTGGGGATCCGGTGCACCTCTTAGGCGAGCAGAAACCAGCCCTCGAGCTTAAGCGAGTTGGGCTAGCTGGGTGGAGGAGGCGTGTCTTCATCTCTTGTTAAAGTTAATAAACCCAATAAACTTGTTTGGGGTTCTACAGAGCCCCAGAGAGCCTCTCTAAACTTCGTCTTTCTCTGTCTTAAGGCGAGTTTGACCCCTTCTCTCTAGAGTTGCAGTTTAAAAAAATGTCTACTGGCACCTTTACACCTTTCCCCAAGCTATCTGCCTCAGCCAGGGTGCCTCCTCTTGTCACACAAGGCTTTATCCATCCTTCTCCGATCTAGGAGGCATTCTCCTGCACGTAGGCATCCTGGACTTCAGCCTGGGACATGGCAACCAGGCCGAGACACGGAGGCGGTGGGGGGGAGGGGGGGATCAGGCAGGAAGGAGAGGTCCACCTGACTTCTAGAAAGATAAGTGGCCATAATCCTATGGCCTGTCCCCACTGGACAGTGGCTGCAATGCTATGGCTGGGCAAAGGTAGAGTGGAGGCAGCATCGTTTCTAGCAGAACAGTTCAGTCTTTCTGATACAGTTCAAGAAGAGCCCACAGCCCCAACCTCCAATGGACTACCAGTGAAAGAGTCTGCCAAGGGTTACCCAGGAAGATTCTTGTGTGGCCCCAATGCCAAGGAGGACCCAGCCCAAAGACAAGGAAGGTCCACAAAGCCAGGAAGGGAACTGGCCACCCACAGACCCCTGTTCAGCATAGACTCTTTCCTACCACTCTGCCACACATCTTGTCTCAGCTCCAAATCCTTAGGCTGTCTGCTCTCTCTAGACTGTCGGTGGATCCCTATCTGAATGGCTCCCTTGTTGAGAAGCAATCATTGGCCTTATAAGTCCTCCAACGATTCTCGGAGAGTTCTCTCCTGCCTGGAGCCAAAGCTCAGGCAGGCTCTGCCACAAACATGTAGCAAACATGGTAAAAACATATAATGGCCATCCAGGGACACAGACAGTCAGAGATATGCATTATTCATTCAGATATAGAACCAACCTACAACATGCCTCAAATCCATAGAACGCACTATAAAATGGGTGCACAGAACCAAAAACACAGCTTGTCCACACATAGGCTACAAACCCAGCTTCAAGGCAGGCCTCTTTCCCCCATCAGCCCCGCCCCACATTTGAGAGCTGATCCTACCTCCTTGGGCCTCCCCAGCTGGCTCCTAGCAACAGCCAACAGCTCTTGCAGTTGCTGAGCAACGGGGAGAACCTGTCAGCCCCTTAGAGGCCAGGCTCACCAGAGGTGGGCAGACACAGACCCCAATCAATGGAGGCAGGGCAGAACAGGGCCACAGGGAGGCATATCCTCCTCCAGCCCCAGGCCAGGCTGTGTGGTCCTTGCACACTTCCACCAGATAGTCACTCCCTCCAATTATTCGTTCTTCCTAAAGTGTCCAGCAACCCTGTTCCACCCCTCCTGGCTGCGCCCTCTCCGTCTCCATGGGGGCCCCGGGCTAGGGCTAGGCCTCTGCTTGCCACTCCATTCACATGTGTCCCTTCCATTCCTGGGGCTATGAACCCTATTCTGTCATCTCCAGCCCAATTTCTCCTCTAATCACCAGCCCCATGTCCATCACTGCTCTGAAATCTCCCCCAGACACTTTAGGCACTTCTAATGGCCCCTGCTCCTTGTCTCTCCACTTTGTGGTCTCTCACCAGCCAGAGCCATCTCCCCCTCCCACCCCTACACCCTGTCAGTTTCTTCCTCTCCTCAACTCCCCCCTCAAATGTGTCCCTGTTCTCTGTCTCTTATCATGGGCCTCCAGCCTCCTCCGTGGCTCTCTTCTTTCCTCTACAATCCATCCTCTACATGGCAGCCAAGGGATCCCACTGAAAGAAATCACATCACTCTCTTGCTCACAAACCTTCTGTGGCTCCCCAGTGCCCTAAGGGTAAAACCCAGGCATACTGGTTTGGATTGTGTAGGAAGTAGAGGTGGTAGAGTGGCAGTGGCAAGTGACAGCAAGAAAAGGACTCTGGGGAGCAGTCTACAAACTTGCCAGCTACATAGTACTTTGGAGAAATATCAGAAACTCCCTGTGCCTCAGTTTTCTTATCAGTAAAATGAGCCTAACAGTAACATCTACCCACTGCAGTGGCTGAGGTCAGGAAGGAAAGGGAGGAAATGAAAGTAAAATGTAAAATGTTTCCATGTGTATGGCACAAGGAAAACTCTAAGTAGGGATGAGTTGTATAATAGTAATCTCTGCAAGGCCCTGTCCCCACCCAAGATCCACCTGATCTCCCCCCACTTAACACATCCACGCTCAAGCCATCTGACTGACCTTACTCACCCCATCTTCTTGCTCCTCCCCTTGATCCCTCTCCACTCATCCCTCCTCCCTATCTCTCATTCCATGATTTCAAGAGAGCTGGGCCTCTAGGACTCCACTGTCCTGGAGCTTCCCTGACCCCAGGCCCAGATCCCACTGTCTTGGTGGCAAGTCTCTCCCATCTGAGTCTCTGTTTCCAGACCCAGAATAATCCTTGAGGGTGCGGGTAAATATCTGTCAAGTGAAATCAATGAATCACACAAACTCTCCCCCAACCTTTTCAGGGGATCCCCCAATCCCCCACCTCCTGGAGCTGGGAAAGCTGTAAACAACTAATCCTGCTGCCACTATAACAATATTTGCCATAGTGGTGTGTGCAGAGAAGGCAGGAATTAATGGTGTCTAGGAAGGAGGCTTCTTAGTGGAAGTGATGTGGGGAGTGGTAGAGGGAGGAGAGGGCTGTGGAAGAATGTGGCAGGAACAGGGAATCTGGAGGTAGAACTATGAGGCCAGATTTGGGGAGGGGCCAGGGAGAAAATCAAGGGTCAGAGCTGGAGAAACCTCTTGCTTTACAGCTGAAGCACCTGAGGATCAGAAGGGGCTGGGACCCATCCATGGTCATCCAGAGAGAACACCGGCAGCCTGCTTCCCTCCCACTTGGGAACCCAGGACCTTTTGAGAGATGTTGTTTTGGGAGCAGAGAATAGCTGCCTAGCCAGGGCCTCATGGGCCCCAGAGGCAGGACTTGTCTCTGTGCACGCTGGTCCAGCACCACCTGGACTAGACCATAAGACAGTGAAATGACAGCCGAACTGAGGGCAGTGCTCTGGCCAGAATGGAGAAGTGGCAGCTGCCAGCTCACTCAGCTCCCTTGCTCACTCGGACAGCTAGAGTAGACCTGGGGCTCACCACACACCACAGAGCAGGTGCAGCTTGTACTGAGTTCCTACCATGCACCTCACCATGCACGAGGCTGAGCAGGGTGAGGAATGGAGACCCCTTAGTGGGCTGTGACACCCCAGCCCACAGGCTCCAGGAAGGGGAAGCTACCAGCACTTCCTCAAAGACAGTTTCGGGTGGGTGTGTCTGCCCTCATTCAGAGTCCAGGAACAGGCAGGACCCTACAGGGATACCCCGAGTCCAGGGTCCTGACCACCCCACTCCCATGGCTCCCAGGTGATAAGGAGTCCCCAGCGACTCTGATCAGCAAATCACAGGCCTTGCAGATAGAGCTTCGACAGTTTCTGCTTGTAGATCTCAGTGGCCAGAGCTGGCTCCCTCTCGGCAGCCCTGAGCCAGGCTCCACCTCTTGGGTACATCCCCTGCACTTCCCCCTTCCTGCTTCTTAGCCTAGAAGCAGTTTTGAGATTGGAGTCAGGTACCAATCAGAGGTGCCCTCTCTGCCCCTTCCTTTCAAAGCCTCTCTTCCCAGGCTTCTCTTCCTCCCAGAGAAACAGTTCCATGCCTGGGAGGCCTTGGGGTCCAGGGTTCCCCTTCCTGGCCATCCACCTCCTTCAGAGATAATCGGCTTTGGCATGGAGAACTCAGGTCAGAAGTTTCTGGATAGGGTAGGGGGCTCCACCTGACACAGGGAGAGGAGAGTCTGAGAAGAGGAGCCATCTATTCAACTACTGTCTACTGTGAGCCTGCATGTGCCACGGTTCTGAGAACCGTAGGGAGAGACAGGCAGCTGGGACCCTGCCCTTCAGGAGCACATACCAAACAAGAAAACAGGGGGAGCAAACAGCACAGTTTCAGAGGAAATCAACAGGGTGACAAGAGAGCCACTGGGAGTGTATGCAGGTGTAACAGTCTGAGAAGATCTTCAAATGATAAAAGGCCAACCATGTGATAAGCCAAGAGAGTAATACGTGGAGGTAACAGCAAATGCAAAGACCCTGGGGTAGAAAGACACAGGGTGTTCCTAGGCCAGGAAGGAGGTCAGCCTGGCCAGAATAGCCAGAGCAAGAGGTATGCATGGTGAGGGCATGTCAAGGAGGTCCCAAGTCCCTGAGAGATGCTGAGGTAGGGGTACATGTGGGCCTGCAGCAGGCATCAGCATCTCCGGGCCAGTGACCCATGCCTGGCCCTGCAAATCCAATTGGTCCTGGCACTCAAGCTGCTACTGAGTAGGGGAGAACTGCTCAGGGAGCCCTTGGAGCTTGGTGGCCAAGTCTGAGCTCAGCCCCTTTCTTCCTTGAAGAGCCCATGGTCCAGTTTGCCACTGTGTCTGCTACATACACAGCCTCTAAAGGCCAGCTCCCCAAGAAACCCAGGGTCCTCAGAGGACCTGGGAAAAGATCATCAGCCTATCCCCAGGAGCCATTCTT